AACAAACTTTTTTTTGCCCAAAATGGAAGAGCCGGACTTGGCTGCCATGTGGTTTCAAGAAGGCGGTGCCACATACCACACCGCACACGAAACAATGGCCCTATTGAGAGGCGAGTTCGGTGAACAGTTTATCACACGTTTGGGGCCCGTCAACTGGCCGCCTAGATCGTGTGATTTAACGCCGCTGGACTATTTCTTGTGGGGCCATGTCAAGGCTAATGTCTACAGATATAAAGCAGCAACGATTGACGCACTGAAAGCCAATATTGAAGCATTTATTCGTGAGATACCGGCCGATATGTTGGAGAGAGTGTGCCAAAATTGGACCTTGCGCATGGGCCATCTAAAGCGGAGCCGCGGCCAACATTTACATGAAATAATCTTTAAACATTAAATTATATCGACCGTTCTATCGACTCAAATCGAGATTTAATCGTTTTTTCAAATTTTTTGTGTTTTTTTTTTTAAATCAAATTCTATACCTTTAAAAAAAATCACCCGTTAGTATTTATTAAAAATAATCAAGCTACTTCAACAAACCAGCTGAATTCCTCTTGGCGTCATGTTTCAACACTCCTACAGCTTCATCTTTAGTGACTGGACTTAAACAGGGAATTTGAGCTGATGGCAATTAGTAGATGCTGCTCGCTAAAAATTATAGGCTTAGACAGGAGTAATTACTTAGTAAACGCGTCAGCAGCTTCCTTGGATGATGTAGTCTTACTCTGATTACTAGACCTAGCAATTTTATTACCATAGTACTCTCATTTTGTTTGCAGTAGTTTTATTTCATGTTCTTTAATCAGTAGTTTATAGCGTGCAACCAACTGGGTATCATTATTTATTTTTGTAAAAAACTCCCCAATCATTTCTTTAGGGCCATATCGTGAGTCGTTCGTACAATTTTAGGACGCCTGATTAGTTTTTCCAACCTTCAAAAATGCTGGAGTCTTTCCAGATGTCGTAAAAAATTTGATGCAAACAGATAAAGTAACCTCAAAATAGAACGCTGACACAGAGCAGTAGAAAACTATGAAAATCAAGGAGGCAATAAAGGAACGACTGACGATACGGCTCTTAGTTATGCAGCTATTTTTACAAATATTGTGAATATGTTCAAGCTTACTTTTAACTAACACTACAGGAAAGCATCTGTCAAAGGTTTGGATGAATATATAATGTAACATCTTAAGCTTGGAATCAAGGTCATGCCCTTTGTTGGACAAAAAATACCAGTCTGTTTGTTGACAAAGCATTTTGAACATTTCAATATCTTGAGGCTTATCGAAACTGCGTTTGCTGTGGTAAACAAATTGTATTTGAGCGATCCTACTTTCCAAATTGTAGCCTACGATCTGCAGATTGCTAAAAATATATCCCTTTTTTAAATTACTATAATAAGAATAGGCGCTTTCGTTAACAGAATTACAAAATTACAGTCGACTGGTTGGCGAAGTTGCTACTCGTATACCAAAAAATACTGAAAACAGAGCTAAAATAAATACTGGAATGTCAAACAAATTTGAAGTCAGTGGAGGAGTGAGACAAGGGTATCCCCTGTCAACCATTCTTTTCAGCCTTTGTTTAGGAAAGGTGATGCAAGAGGCGAATAACAACAGGGATGGGATACTGTACCACCGAAAATTTCAGTGCTTGGCTTTTGCAGATAACATAGTGATAGTAGCGAGAGGAAAACAGAAGTCACAAGATGTAGTGAGGAGACTAGGAAACTGGGTCTATATATAAATCTAAATAAAACAAAATGTATGGAATGGGCTGATGTTAGTAGCGAAATTAAGGAAAAATACGTAGTCATGCCATAAGTTCTGTCCCTCGTTTTCAAACAAGTGGAGACCTGTTAATACTTGTCCGATTGTTTACATTGTGGTGTCAGTTGATTAAGCGCTTTTCGGGTAATTACATATACCTCAGTTTGTATTGATCTCTCGAAGCATAACGATGGAGTGGGGCAAGGCAGAGAACCGTATTGCAGTGATAGCTTTACATAAGTGTAATCACAGTGCTAGTCAGATTTTTGAACACTTACGCGGCCTTCAAATATCGCGTAAATTTGTGTCTAGGACCATTCAGCGGTACAATGAAACGTCCTCTGTTGATGACAGGCCAAGAAGCGGAAGACCTCGTCAAGTAAGGACTCCAGCAGCCATCAAAGCCGTAAAAGCCAGGATTCAAAGGAATCCACTCCGGAAGCAGAAGATCCTATCCAGGGAAATGAAGATTCCTGTCCGGACGATGTCGCGCATCATTAAACAAGACCTAGGGCTAGGGGCTTACCGGAGACGTACGGGCCAGCGACTTACGGCCACCTTGCGACACATCAGGGCGACAAGATCCAAGAAGCTCTTGGAGAGGTACGCAGCTGGGGGATTCCGAAAGATTTTGTTCACGGATGAGAAAATCTTCACCATAGAAGAAAAATTCAACCGACAAAATGACAAAGTGTATGCAAGGAGTTCACAGGAAGCTTCGGAGATCATTCCGAGAGTTGAGAGAGGCCACCACCCTGCGTCAGTCATGGTTTGGTGGGGGGTGTCCTACGAAGGGGTCACTCAGCTCCATTTCTGTAAACAGGGCGTGAAAACAAAAGCGGCAAACTATCAGAGCGACATACTGGATCCTATCGTCAAGCCTTTAAGTGGTACATTGTTTGCCAACCAACACTGGGTCTACCAGCAGGATTCCGCCCCCGCTCACAAGGCTAAGAGTACGCAGCGCTGGCTGGAAAGCAATGTGCCAGAGTTCATTGCTGCGGAAGATTGGCCCTCAGGGAGTCCGGACCTCAATCCTTTAGACTACAAGTTGTGGGACCTGCTAGAGCAGTTGGCCTGCTCCAAAGCCCACCGTAATATCGAGTCCCTGAAAGCGGATTTGATCCGATCAGCGGCAGCTATTCCTTTGGAAGCTGTGCGTGCAGTGATAGATGAGTGGCCCGCGAGATTGAAGCAGTGTGTGAAGGCCAAGGGGGACATTTTGAATAAAACTGTTTGATTATGAATTCTAAAAATGTTGTCGAATAAATAATATCTTTCATATAAATATATCTTATCTTGTTTCATTTTTATCATGAGATTATCATGGGACAGAACTTATGGCACGACTACGTAGAAGCCGAAGAAGCAAAGACCTGCATTTTTGAGAAGGTGGAAAGATTCGTGTACCTAGGCACAGTATTCACAAACAAACCAAATACGAAAAAAGAAATACATGCAAGACTAATGTAAGGGGACCGATGTGCATATGTGCTTTACAGAATTATAAAAGTAAAGAAATATCGAGAAATGTTAAAACTAGGATATACAGAACCAGTACCAGTAGTAACATGTGCTAGCGAAGTGTGGACACTGAGCAGAACGGAACAGAACATGCTTGAGGTTTGGGAAGGGAAGATTTTAAGGAGAATTTTTGGTGGCAAATTAGTTAACAGTGTTTGAATGAAAAGAACAAACAGCGAAATAAAGGAGCTCTATGGGCATCCTAGTATAGTAGGAGTAATAATGGCGCAGATGCTAAGGTGGTTAGGCTACAGAGAAAGGATTCCAAATATATGAATACCAAAAAGGGTTCTGATGCACACAGCTGGCACAAAGAAAGTAGAAGAGGACTTACGAGCAATAGGGGTGCAGAGATGGAAGAACAAGGCAGTCGATAGAGGAAAATGTTAGACCCTCGCTTTCCAAGCCATGGGCCTACCAGGCCTTTAGTGCTGGTATATATACTCAGTCCGCAACATGCGCTAAGTGGTACATTACCAACACAAACATTTCTAAAATATAAAAATCACAAACCAATGCTTATTAAAAAACGATACAGAGCTGCCATAATATTTATGAAAATATATAAATGTACAAACATGATCAAATGCTTGATGGAATTAACAAAAGCTTAACTTTTTACGCAACACGGGAAGCAAATATTTTTTATGTGCCTCGGGCATTCCATTGAACAGGGTTGAACGATGTTGTAGCATATTAATATATTTATTTTTCAGACATTTGCCATGTACATATTTATCAAAGGAAGTTTTTTAACGAGACTTCGACGTTAGCAGCAGTTTATGCATGAAATTCAAGTAAATAATTCATCTTTATCCACTTTAGCACGTGATATGTAGCCGAAACGTAGCAGAATTTACGCAATCTGAATATAAACCGCACACAATTATTTTGAATCACATGAAAGATATGTTTTGCAAAATAATCTAACGATAGAGCATAAACAATATTACAGTGATTCAAGATAGATACAACAAGCATTTTACATAATTTAAAATTTAGTAAGCAAAGATGAGCTATTAAAGTAGGGTCACCGGGGAGGGGCAGGGTACCGGGGCAGAACGGTTTGCATACCATATTTCCCACTGTAAAGGCTAGATGTTACTAGCGCTATCTGTTATCGTTTAGTAGAACGCCACGCATCGGTCGGCAACAATGAACAGATTACAGCAAACAGGCCAAACGTAATGAATTTGTGCATGTGGATATAACTTTTCAGGATTTTTAATACAATGTAAGTTATTTAATTATTTGTTTTGGCGTTTTTTGTTTATTTAACTGTACACGGCATGTGTACAAGTATCTTTTGGCATATTCACGACAAAATATTAATAAAGCGTGTCTATGCAAAGGTTATGTTTTGTTATGAGTAGCTTGTGGGGCAGAACGGTGTGGGGCAGAACGGGTTGGGACCCTATTCTGCCCCTTATTATCAACGATCTCATTTTGATGCCTTGTGTTGCTTTCAGATAGTTCGCAATTATATTAGAAAGACCGATCGGCAACGGTGGAGTTCTGAAACGATGGAACCAGCTGTAGCTGTAGTAGTAAGTGGCGTAATGGGTTGCAAGAAAGCTTCAGTTCAATTCCAGCTTCCACAAACTACATTGGAAAGATACGTGAAAAAGCGTAGGACTGACCGCTGGCAAATATCACTGCGTTTTTACTCAAGACCAAGAGGTAGAACTAGTTGTATATTGAAAGGATATGCAAAAGAGATTGTTTGGTTTGACATTAAAAGAACTCAGAAAGCTAGCCTATCAATTAGCGGTTAGGAATGGTTGTGAGCATCCATTTAACAAAGATACAGAAATGGCGGGAGAAGACTGGGCCCACTCATTTATGAGGTGTCATTCAGAGTTAAGTTTGAGGAAGCCTGAGGCCACTTCTGGATCACGTGCCATGGGATTTAACCGAGTAGCAGTCGCGCAGTTCTTTACATTATTAAATAAAGTTATTATTGAGAAAAAAATTACCTGTGAAAGAATTTATAATTGCGATGAGACTGGCATTACAGTGATTCCAAAGCAGCATTCAAGGGTTATTGCAAATAGAGGACAACATCAGGTAGGCGTATTGACTTCTGCTGAGCGTGGCAATACAGTAACGGCAGAAATTTGTTGCTCTGCTGCGGGAAATTTCATGCCCCCCCTGTTGATTTTCCCGCGACAAAAGAAGAGACAATAATTTGAATTGGGCTTGCCACCTGGAGCTTGGATTGCGGCAAATGACTCTGGATGGATGACTATGGAAGTGTTTTTCGAATGGTTCAAGAACTTTATTAAATTTTCTGGTGCACAAAAAGAAACTCCCGTGCTCTTACTATTTGATGGACATGCATCTGATACGAAAAACATCGATGTAATAGATCTGGCTCGAGATAATGGCGTTATTTTATTATGTTTCCCACCGCACTGTACGCGCAGGCTCCAGCCTCTAGATGAGGCATTTATGAGACCTTTAAGTCTATACTACGAAGATGAAGTGCGAAGATGGTTGCGGTCAAACCCAGGTAAGGTTGTTACTTTATTTCAAATTTCAACCTTGTTTGGACAAGCTTTTATTAACGCCGCTAATATGAAAACCGCGCTAAAAGGTTTTGAAAAAACTGGTATTTGGCCAACAAACGAGGGAATTTTCACTGACGATGACTTTTACCAGCCGAGACAACTAATATTCCCGTTGCTGAGACAGAAATTGCCCCTATTCAAGTAACTCAAGTCTATGATTTTCCAGAAAATAATTCCTTCAATGATCCCTCAACCCCACCTCCCAGAGAACTAAAGGAAACTAGCAACGAAACTCAAAATGGCTCTTTACCCTGGATGTCTGACACTCCTATTGCACCAATAAAAAAAGTGATCACCTCTAGTTATCCAGCCGTTTCTCCGGAAGCTTTTATGCCAGTACCAAAACTAACGACAACCGTTAAGCGAGTGCAAAGAAAGAGAGGCAAAATCACTATTATTACAGAGTCACCGTATGAAGCAGAGTTGACTGAGGCATTAGAAAAATCAAAGAAAAACAAAGTGAAAAAAAATCTTTCTGGTCAGAAGTAGAAGAGGGAAACAGAAAAGATGTCTCGACCAAAAAAGCAAAAGATAATAGAAGCTAGAGTAAGCTCCGAGGAGGAAGAAGGAGGAGACACATGTTATTCTGTAACGACCAATATTAAACATCAACTGAATGTTGAATTTCTTGCATCCAGTGTAAAAAGTGGGCTCATTACTCTTGTGCGGGAATAGGTAGTGACGACGACGAGTCAGAACTGATTTGTGACATTTGTAAACCCGAGTACCCCATCGTGCCCCACCGATGGGGCAGAATGGAGTAAAAGACACTTTTTGTTTAAGTTGATGACATAAAAAAAATTGTTAGCCTTATTTTCATATTTGTTTGTGTTTTCATGTTTATGATATCTCAATAGATCATTATGTACCTTTTTAAATTTCTGTAACATCATTTACCCACCCAAACTTGAAATTGAATGTTACGGTCCCCATTCCGCCCCGGTCTCCCCTACGTAATCGAGGATAAGTTTTTTGACAGGCCATCAATAAACCTCAATTTGGTATCAAAAATGACACCAAGAATTTATGCGAAATCCGTGAACCCTAACATTTGTTTTTATATAGTATTTTTTTTCTTTTATTCGTTAAAAAACAAGAGCATCGTCGATTTACTTGGATTATGATTCGCAGAAAATTTGATCAGGTCGTTGCAAAGTTTTAGTAGCTCTGGACGCCTCCAAAGGATTGAAACAATGTAATAATTGGGTGTCGTCTACGTAAGGCTGCATAAGAGAATTTTTGGGAATTTTGTTCAAGTCGAATGATTAAAAATAGTAATGGTCCCAATACCTTTGAAGTTGAGTCATTAATTTTCAGATAATGATTCTAGAAGGAAGATAAACCAAAATATGTGTGTAAAAATAAAAAAAAATGTTGTTTTATAAAGTATCCTCCCGACAAGTATTTCAGTGCGGACCTGTATTTGATCGTGCGGTCTTGGAGCACCGGCATGCCATCCCCTGTGAGGTCTTAAGTCACCTGATTCACGAGCCCTTTGTACTACATTAACAAAGGCACGAGGGGTTGGTTGCACTCGATTTCGAAACCGATCCGCATAAATCCGTGATGCCGCATAAATAAGAATCATGTCCACAAGTTCAGCATTTTCGTAAACATGAGTCATTTTTGATTTCGTTTGAGCCACGCAACAGACACCACTATTCACTCACGCGTTACCGACTGACACTGACTGTATACAACTGAATAAAATAATTGTAAAAACATCGTTCCAAATTCTTTCGCTTTTTTGTTTCCGATGCGATGAACCGATAAGGCGGATTATATCCGTTGTTGCCAAACACGAGCACATAATATTATTATTGAGACAGGTCGATACTCAAACTTCTAAAGGGCTATAACTTTGTTACTTTAATTTTAGCAGAAAAATGGTAAAGAAAAAAAACATTTCTTTTGATCAGATCTACTCACTGTTAAAATAAATGACTCAACTTCGAAGTCACCCTGTATAGATCCTTGTGGTACATCTGACGGTTTAAACGAAGTAGACCACATTTCTTTGTTCACTGATACACATTCAGTCCTATGGTGGGGATAACTTCAAAAAAATTTACGGATAATTGGTAAAGACCTATATAAACAAGTTTTGCAAATTAAGTAGAGCAAAGATTGTACCACAGTTTTTCCGAGAACCAGATTGAGTATTTGAAAGAATATACTTATCAAGGAATGAATATAGCTCTTCTCCGAGCTACTGGAAAATAACCACCTTCTGTGATAGGCATAATTTCGGCATTGATAAAGGTATACCTCCGACAGCTGTTGCATCTGAGCTTAAACTGCTTATTTCTTATAATACATCTTCCGGCAATGTTAAGGGGGCACACACGTAAACGACTTAACTTATTTGTGAAGTAATATCGAAGAACTTTATTCTTTGCTACACCGTAGATCCTCATTGCACCATTGTAACTAGTGATACTGTCATTTTCAATAAAACGCTCAGTACTTACTGTCATATTAACCTAGATACTGTATTAGAGTTGGTTGATGCTTCTTGTAGGACCCAAATCATTGTTTTTGATTGGTCAAATTGCAACTATACCGTAAATAGGTTCTTAAAACTTATATGTGAAGTATTACTTGATTTAAGACAAGAATTATAAATAACATATAAATTTTCTGTAGTTGAAGAGTCTCATAAATTTGGTAACATTAAACCCATTCAGCTTGTCACATGCCTCACACAGATTACAACCCTTGACATGGAACAAAATAACATTTCCAAAAGGCCATTAAAGTTCTAGACTTGCCGTGAAAGAGCCTCCCGGAAGCTTCTGTTTTCTCCCTCCTCGGAAAATGAAACCAATTCAGCGAGACAAGGCGGAAGAACAATAGAAAATAGAGCAACTACGAAAATGTATCTCCCCGCGTTTTCCTTTATAGCCCGGTAAGGGAACATAAAACGTTCCCAAAACCTTGCAAAAATTCAATAGTGGTTAGAAATTTGGATTTAGGAAATTGAAAAGGTCTTGTTTAGCATAACGAAGAGTACCGGATCCTGTGGAAGGCAAGTTCTGAAAAATTTTCGAAAAGCTTTTTGGATCTTGATTTTCTTTACGGTCTTTTTAATATTATCTGTAGAAAAAGTTGTCATGACAAGTTTCTAGTTTGATGTCAATTTACTTAGAGTTGTGGTTACTCCATTCGTAAATCAGCATACCTGGGTACAAAAAGCGTTGTTCTCGTTACGGTTCATCATATACAGGGTGTTCCTTAATGATATGCGAATATTTAAGGATGTGAATCTACATGAAAAATTAATGTTAGTTTGCTTTATAAACCATGGTCCAAAAATGTTTCCCTACAAAAACTCTAGGTGTTGAAATTTTAGGAAAAAAATTGAAAGTAAGTAATATTTTCAAAACCGCATCAGATATTTCACTGATATTTAGTACGTAGTGAAAGTTTATAAAGCTTTATATTTCTCAATGCAAAAATAACTTCTAGCTTTAACAGTGGCGTGCGGTCGGGTATTGACTTCGATATTTTTTAAGAAAAAAATGGTAGGCCAATGGTTTTCTGCCAAGTAAAAACTGTTTTTGAATTTCCCGATCAATTTAAAACAAATTATCTCTCTTGAATAGTTTTCCTTCGATCCGCCATTTTTGAGTAAAGAAATAAAAACCGTTCTGTTGACACATGCGTGTACCTCATATTGTTTCTTATTACTAACGGAACAGCATCAAGCAGCAAGAAAATTGAGGTAAGTCTGTCCGTCAAGTCGTCCCTGCAAGAAGAATGGGCCAAGAAAGTGGCTACCAATAATTGCTGCCCATACGTTAACCGAAAATTGGTGTTGGAAATGGGTTTCGGTCACGGTATAGGGATTTTCTTCTGCCCACAAATGATTATTGTGGAAATTCTGAGTGGCATTTCGAGAAAAAATAGCTTCGTCCGTGAACAGAATCATTGATTCAAATTGCCGATTTTGTGTAACTTTTTGAAGATACCACTGACAAAGGATCACATGCCTTGGAAAATCAATGGGAAGTAATGCCTGTACTCTTAAAATATGGTAAGGATATAACAAAAAATCCACTAAAATTCTCCAAACAATTTGATGGCAAATGTCTAAGTGTCTACTCGTTTCAGGATGTGCTTTGACTTCGTGCAGCACTGCTTCCTCAATTTCAGGTGTTCTCACACTTAGAGGTCTACCTTCAGATGTTCCTTTTCGGACAGAACCAGTTTCAGCAAGACGACGACGAATATTAGAAAAGGTTCGACCATCTGGCAAAGCACGATCGGGATATCTCTGGCGATAAATCCGTCTGGCTTGCTCACCATTACCGTCGGCAAGGCCATATACGTAATGCATTTCCGCTATTTCTGCATTTGAATAATTCACCATTATTAACAAGATTGTAAAAACTAAATAAAGAAAAAGATTTCACAGCGAACAGATTTGAATAACAGAGACTTGTCAGATGTCAAAAGCCAGTGACATTCCAGAGCAACTAGATGTTTATTGTTAAATTGCATTCTTCAATTATCACATTAATTTTCTCGGACGGATTTTATTGTTTTACTCAAAAATGGCGCATCGACGGAAAACAATTCAAGAGAATTGAACAGGGAATTCAAAAATAATTTTCATTTGGCAAAAACCCATTGGCGTACCATTTTTTTCTTAAAAAATATCGAAGTCATTACCCGTACGCACGCCACTGTTCAAGCTAAACATTATTTTTGCATTGAAAAATATGCAACTTTATTAATATCAGTGAAGCGGTTCTGAAAATATTAATTAATTTCCATTTTTTTTTCCTATAACTCCGACACCCTGAGTTTTTGTAAGGAAGCATTTTTGGACCATAGTTTATAAAGCAAACTAACATTAATTTTACCCACACCCTGCATAAATGTTGTTAAAGTTACTTGGACTAATCTTGTCAGGAGTTTAACGATTCCGCTGTTTATGTATCAACTCAAGAATCGAGGGGGAGGGAGTTTATTGTCTAAGTAACAATATTTTGAGGGAAATTTCGTTCCAAGGCATCGATAAATTCATAGTCCAGTCGTAGTAGTATTCTATGTGAAATTGTTATCGTTGCATAACCCCAGTAATTGAATGCACAGGTGGATAAAGGTGTCATTTAGCATTTCTAAACTAACCTTAATGGTTGATTCCTTCATTCTGTGATTATTTTGTTGCAAGAACAAGATAATAATAAAATAATTAAACTATATATTCAAAATGTCAGTAAAGTAAAAAGCACCATTAAAAAATGTCAATAAAATGTTCTCAAGTACAATGATTTTGTTATATGACACCTTTATTCACTTGTGTCTTCAATCTATAAGTGAATAACACACGGTAGGGATTTTATTGGATTATAAACTCCGGAAAAAAGGAGAGTGTAAAAATAAATGAAAGAACGCAAGAAAAAATAAGTATCGGCAGAGTTCCATCTCAACCTTCAATGGAGTATACCGTCAATTGCTCATCCTGTAATTATTGAGGTTTT